GAGTTGAAGAGCTGTTTTTACTCCTTTACTAGTTGTTCTGATTTGTGAAGATGTTAATGTTTCTCTATTACAAACTCCAACACAAATATACACACCACACATGAAATCTAAGACTAAAGTCATTATCCTCTTTTAAAAGTAACTGAGAGTTAAAATTTTAGACCAGTTAGGAGAAATAAGATGCTATTGAATTCATCTGCCTGAGTTTACAGAGAAGAAGCCATGCATTCTTAAAGGAGGTAAAATCTGAAATTGGAGAGTAGGGGGAAGAAAATCTCTCATTTTAGGTAAAATGCATACATACATAGTACTTAAATAGATTACATAGAGTATTTGTAATAATACTTCACTGGGGACCTATTACGAAAAACCTATCTAAACAGCCTACCCTAAGAAGAGTGTGTGGTGCTAGAGAAGACTCCTGAGAGTCCCTTGAGCAGTAAGGACATCAAACCAGTCAACCCTAAAGGAAATCAATCCTGAATATTCATTGGAAGGACTGATGCTAAAGCTGAAACTCCAATACTTTGGCCACCTGATGCAAAGAGCCAACTCAGAAAAGGCATGGAAAAGACCATGATGCTGGGAAAGATTGAGGGCAGGAGAAGGGGGCAACAAAGGATGAGATGGTTGGATGGCATCACTGACTCAATGGACATGAGATTGAACAAACTCCGGGAGATAGTGAAGGACAGGGAAGCCTGGCATGCTGTAGTCCATCGTTCGCAAAGAGTCAGACATGACTGAGCGACTGAACGAGAAGAGTGATCATCGAAAATAAGATTGAGAAACACTAAACTTGTATGAGGTTCCAAAAACACTGATTAAATATGGCCCCCATTCCAGTCTCCAATAGAAATCATCAACTTTTTAATCCCTGAAATTACACCACATTCTGTACATACACCATTTGTATTTGAGAACAAAATATTGTCACGAGATGAGGATAATCACTTATGATTTAAAACTGATGACCAAAATATCATTTGCAGCTTGATATCAATTTGATGTTATTAATCCAAAATGGGATTCCCAGATGGCACAGTGGTAGAGAATTTGCCTGCAATACAGGAGATGCAGGTTTGATCCCTGGGTCAGGAAGATCCCCTGGAGAAGGCAATGGTAACCCACTACAATAGTCTTGCTGGGAAAATCGCATGGACAGAAGAGCCTGGCAAGCTACAGTCATGGGTGTTGCAGACTCAGACACAACTGACCTTGCATACACACACACTCTTGAAGTACTGTGTGTAAGTAAAAAGAAAACTCAACTTGAACATGTAGATTCTGTTTATTCTCAAATAGCCCAGGGTTAAAATTGCTCAATGTTGGGGGTGCATCTGGAGTGGCAACAGTTGGGATGTGAGGGGTGGCTATGGAATTTGAAGCCCTTGTGACTTAAGCAAAGAGAATGATCGGACTAAAAGTAACTCTTAATCTTAAACTGCTTTTAATCTTGCACTGCATAAAAGTGAGTATATTACCTTGGGGCTAGTGATAATAGTTTTCAATAAATCTTAGACAAAAGAATCAAAAGAACCAATTGAGAGAATAGAATCATATGCTATAATCTTACCTAAAATGCTTACAGTACTATCTTACCATATTACTAGCTTTATGTCTCATGAAGACATAAAATGAATTCTAGAATCATAGAATTCCCCAAATGGAAAGAATTCTAGAGATTAGTCAAAACCTCTCGGTTAATGTGTCAGAGAGCTGAGGCCTTACAATGCCAATGTTGAAATTGTGACCCAGATTCTCCTTTTAAAATTCAGTCTCACAAGATGTATCAGGGATGCAATATTTCTCAAGAGATTGTTGTTCTCTATCCAAAATAGAGAATATGTAGTTGAAATGAGCCTATTATGTTTCTTACCTTCAAATATAAGTGGAATAATTATTTAGGGTTTTCAAATATTAGAATATCATAATCACAGCATTGTTGCTGCCGTTTAGTTGCTCAGTCGTGTCCGACTTTTTGCGACCCCATGGACTGTAGCCCGCCAGGCTCCTCTGTTCATGGGATTTCCCAGGCAAGAATACTGGAGTAGATTGTCATTTCCTTCTCCAGGGGATCTTCCAACCCAGGGACTGAACCAGTGCTTCCTGCATTGGTAGCAAGATTCTTTACTACTGAGACACCAGGGAAGCTCTATTCACAGTTATTAGCTCACGATACATTGGGATTTTTGGCTATGTCCCTAAAGACAGGGAATATACTTTCAATGGCTTTCTGGTGTTATAAATATTCCTGAACTCATATGTGACAGAAACATAGCTACAAAAAATATGACAGCCATTATCAGGAAGCCAATTCCCTGTTTCCCAAGCATAAGCACAACATTTATAATTATTGAATAAAGACAGGTGTTTAAAATAAGCTGAAATTTAGATTAATGAGACAATGGTTGTTAACACCGACAGCCTGAAGGAGAATGCTGAGATATTATAACAATAAAGTAGATTTTTTTTCCTCCACAAAAAGTCTCTTACATTAATCTAAATTTTGACTAATCTTAATCAAATCAAATCATATTAATCTAAATATGAAAAGAAAAATTTACAAGCTTTCTGGTATGTTTATAAGAAGTATTAAAATATATTCACATTGATGTATTTGGCAGCTTAAGAAACACCAGTTCCTAGCAAGATCGAATCTACAACTTTATAGCTGTTCTTCAAATAATGGTTAAAAAATGGAATAAAATAGTATCATATTGGCAGTCTCAAACAAAATGACTTTCTGAGTGGTTTATCCCAAGCTAAAACAGTAGGGCTTATAGGTTGGATGGATGAGAGAAAGCTATATTTACACAACGAAGGAGAGGTGGCACAATGGAGACATTAAAAAGTCCTTATAGTGCTTAATCACTACTCCTTCATCACAGACTCTGATTCTATTAATTTTGCTTGGTATTGAGAAGCTGAAAAATGTTAGAATTACTTACAGGAGACTTTTGTGATGTGGAGAAGTAGCATACTACTTACTAAATGTTATTCTAGAAGAGAGGGTTTGTTGACTACTTCTGGCTTAAAACATGAAAAATAAACTGACTAGTTCTTTAAAGAGTTTCTAATCACCACTCATTGCTTAAAAGTAGGTCACTTCCTTCCCCCCACAGAAGAGAATGTGGGATTCGAACATCTATATATCAAAATATTAATGATTATACTTCTAAACAACAGTGACAAATGCTGCTACTAATTAATTCAGGTATTTTAAATTATAACCCATAGCCATAAAGTATACAACTAATATCTAAAATTACAAAATTTTAGCAATTTTGATGATAAAGTTTTAGCATTGCACAGCATTCATGATTAGTTAATAATTCACAAAAAGCAATTTGAGACACAAAAGATATACAACACACTGGGCTGCATTTAAAAAATAATTAACCAAGTAAATGTTTTAAATTAGAACCACGATACAATTTCCAAATAAAAATTCTTCTCAAACCATCACTGGATCTTTCATCCAATTATGAGAGATGTTCTAATGGGAAGTCCATACCAACTAATAAATTCTTAGAAAATTTCTATCCCATCTCCCACTTTGGTCTTCCAGATAGCAGGGGTTTCTTCAGGGTTTGTGATGATGATGTGATGTGTCATAAAGAGTCATATTTTACAGTTTCACAAGGGTAGGAGGAGAGAAGTGAATGGTATTTTAAGGAAGAGGGGTCCATTCGCAATTAAAAGTGTGAAATGCTAAACTCCATTATGAAGACAAATAGCAAAGTACAACTTCATTGTTGAAAACAATTTCCCTCCTATCAGTCCAAGGATTCATGCATCAATATTGTAGATGAACTGTTAATTACAAAATCAATTAAAAATTATTCCTAAAAACAGTCACGCGTCCCTGGCTCTCATGGGGGCAATTTGGGCAGAAGGTCTCATCTCACTAGGACCGCGCCAAATCACAAAGTCGTCATCCACAAGTAAGCAAAAGCAATCTGGTTTTTCATTTTTCAGCGCGGCTGAGCCCAGCCTGAGATTGATCGTCACATATGGCCCCAGAAAACAAACTGTCAATACCTTGAATGCTGCAGAATTTGAACAAATAGCCATCCGCCCATTCAAGCCACTCATTGCATCCCATTTAACAGATTTTATTGACAGTTTCCTTCTTGTAATTAAAGGGAAAACTACTGGCCGGCAACCAAGATAAAGTTCAAAGATAGGGTCAAAACAAAAGCAGATGGAGGGGCACGATGTGACTGTCAATGGTACATAGCATCAGAGCGTGTTATTGACGCAGGTATCTAAAGATCGGCACGCCATTAAGGAGGGATCTATCCTGGACTTTATGCAAATGCTAAGAGAGACTTAAGACCACAATCAAGCATCCGGAGAGGCACAAAGGCAAAAACAACAAAGCACCAACGATTTTTACTTATCAGGGTTTGCGCTCTATTTTAGCACATTTCAGTTCTCATGTAAAGACCATTTATTCTCATAATTCTTAACCCTTACTACATAGGTAATACCTTTAAGGGAAATACTCCTTTGCAGAATCCGACTGCTAGAGAATTCCAGAAGGGAAGAAAACAGTATTCTCTGATAAGCAGAATGAAAAGCAATACAACATATATTATTCCAATTACAAAATTTGCATTCTACGGTAGGGGAATGATTTGCATTTGTAACTCACACTTATTTTCACTTGTGTAAATAAGACAAAGGACCTAACTTTGTCCTGAGCGTCCATTTACACCACTGCCACTTTTGCTTCTGCTTTGCCATGATTTGTGTCAATGAACAATTTGGTGGTAAAAGGGACACAGCCTTTAATAAGCAAATAAAATAAAGATAATTCCCTTTAAGTTGGTTTTTCTTTTCTTCTAACTTTTCCCTAGGAAGCTACAAGGACTATAATTTGGCTGATTCAGAATTTATAGCTGGGTCTAGTAAATCCCTGAAGAAGAAGGTAAGTGAAGGGGGAGAACTGACATATTAGGAAATATAACAACGAACCATGTCAATATGCCAACCTGAATTAGCGAGAGCTATCGCTTTGAGGGTGACAAATTCTTCTTTCTCCAGCTTCATGCTCTTGTATTTTTTTACCAGCTGCAGGATAGCATTATTTAGGTCAAGAAGGCCTGCTAATTTGGACTGGTCTTCATCCATTATATAATCGTCTGCATAGACAAGTTCATCCTCAAAGGAGAGAGATCGGTACACGACACCAAGGATCAAGATTTCCATCCAAGCGCTTTGCAGAAGGCTCATCTGGTCTGCCAGGGACAGCGTGGAGAAGCCTGCAGGGGAATATAGGCAGATCAAGTTACTTTAAAGCTATCATATCATAATGTAACATTAGTTTCATATGGTAGTCAGCTTCTGCATAGATGCTCAAAATTACGCTGACTCTGATTAGCTGCTCTTAAACTTTCCCCTGCCCATTTGCCAATGGCAAATAAAAGGCACCGACCAGCTTCGACGTGTTGGTGTTTTCTCCATATTTTATAGACACAGCTGACAGGAATATAATAGATAAGAGGTAGTTTTGTTTCTTTCACTTGAAAATACCATGCAATCATGAAATACAATCGATTTCTAGTGGTAGTCTTTATGAATGTGTAAAATGGAAGGAAGTGTTAGTCACATGGGCTCTTTGTGACCCCATGGACTGTAGCCCACCAGGCTCCTCTGTCCATGGAATTCTCCAGGCAAGAATACTGGGGTGGGTAGCCATTCCCTTCTCCAGGGAAACTTCCCCACCCAGGGATCGAACCTGGGTCTACTTCATTGCAGGTAGATTTTTTACCATCTGAGCCACTCTTCCTAGACTTGACAGTTTGATGGGAAGTCAAACTATCAACTACCTCATCTCCAAAAACTGCTTCTGATAAACACATGAAAGAGAAAAACAAAACCCAAAAGTACAGAAGCCCCAAATAAAGGACAACAATTCAGGCCACACAACAGAGTGCAATTTGGAACCATTTCTCTGTAATAGTCACAAGCACAGTGAGTGCTGAATTCGATTACACCCAAAAGAGCTTTCTTAATTGGATATTTTGTCCCCACTGACATTTAGCATGAAGTCCTTTTTAAAATGGTGGTTATTGGTCTCAAAGAGGATGAATACTTTGCAGCCTGGTCCCCTCACTAAACAGAGAAGCCACAATTTATTCTTGATATTAGGATCCACTCATTTTAAACATGGGGGCCTCGAGGTGCAATGGACAAAGTATGAGCAGAGACAGATCCGCAACTTCAGTATCAGCTCCACTGAACGACTGGCTGTTTCACCTTGAGCAAGATGACTTCCTTCTACCTTAATTTCTGTTTTGCAGAAATATAAAATAAAACCCAGCAGAACACGACTTTAAAATATGTATTCTATAAGTGTAGCTATATGATGTACTATTTTTATCTGAAATACCTGGATGACTGTTTCGATCCTAAACCTGGCCTGCATACATGTTTAAAGTCCCTTCTGAACTTGAGAAAACACAAATTTTAAAAAAATTTAAAAAGAAAATGTGGTTTAAGAGGGAAAGATGAAGTAGGACAATTAAACCTACTTAGGAGTAAAGATATCTATGTAAATTTCAGAGGGATTAGATCCAGACTCTAAAAGGAAGTCAGTGGAGATAACCTGATGATCAGTTGCTTACTTTTGCCTTAAGAAAAAAAGTTTCTTAAAACTTCACCTTCATTTCCAAGGTTATGCCCAGGAATTCCAAGGGTGACAAACCATATCTATGATTTTTGAGGACAATGTACCATGATTTAAGATTCTGCCACCAATAATTCCACAGAAGGAAGAAAGTATTAATAATGCAACTTATAAAAGCTGTTATTACTCCCTTTCTAGATCCTATTACCCAAATCATAAATACCCACTGCTGTTCAGCTTTCTTAGGCTCCTACCTTTGGCTGTTGTTCTTAATCATTTTTACTCATCACGAATTATTCATACTTCTTGTGATAGTAGCAACTATAGCATGATAAAGAAAAGGAAATGATTTCCAGGCCCATTGCAGAAAACTAGAGGTGGCCATTTGGTACCATTCACTTCAAGTGTTTAATAAAATCACCAAGAGGGATTAGTCCAGCTTTTCTTCAGGGGTCTTAAGGCCCATGTAAAAAGCATTTATTTCATTTTTTTAAAATCAAGTTGCTTACATATTACTTAACTAGTCTTCTTTTGGACTGACTATGTCTCTTTTTCCTTTTTCTCTATTCTTTGTCACTGAAATATGGAGTTACATGAATAAACGTCCGCTTAGAATTAGAGATGTAACAACTTTTAACAGGGATTGCAAAGAGAAAAATAATGATCGAATCTGAGTAGATGTGTCTCCATTTCCTTTTCATGTTGAGAATGTTTTACAACAAATAAACCAAAAACCAAACAAACAAATATTGATCTTTTTTCCAATCTCCCACTGCAAGGAAAAGATGTCCTGCAAATTCAAATACCTAAGTTAAGAAGAGAGACTAAGTAGGAATTTCTTTTGTAAATAAAACAGATGCAAAAATAGTCGTCTAGGAAGTTCTGAGCAAAAGGAGATGGGTATTTTCCATTCGGCTTCGTTTCCTTTTTCCTTTTCACGCTCCCAAGCAGTTTTTCTGCAGCAGCAGATGGACAGAGCGCATAGCCTGCAGCACCTTCCTGTGACAGCCCTATTCTCCAGCCCAGACACTGCTGTTAGTAAATAGATTTACACATTCTCCAATCTCCACACATCTTTCTGCCGAATAATTAAAAGCAGGATGATTAGTTTATTGAGTGGAAGGAGGAACTTTTTTATTGAGGTCCATCCACGATTTTATCAGGGCCAGCACTTTTACGGTTGTCAGGAGGATGCAGGCATCCAATTTTTCTTATCTGCCTGATTAATACAAACGCTGTTTCAGGACGCATTAATTAACAGATACAAATCTACGTTCTCATGGAAGGATCAATACGGAGAAGAAAAGAGGCATCAATGTGAATTTAGTGCTGATGATGGAGCAGGCACGCTATCGACATTTACGTGCACGGAAACTTTAAAGTTGCACGGGGGCCCCTTTGTCCCTGTGATTTACAAATGAACAATTTTTTTCCTCCATGACAATGTTTCACACAATTCTTGGGGGGTTTAATTAAGTCAAAAACAATAAAACTTCATTTTCTTAGGTTGATCCTGCGACTTGATCCTTCTAGGTGGGTGTGTGTGTGTGTGTGTGCATGTGAACCGAACTTGGCCTTTTACTTCTTAATGAAATAAAAACAAGGAAAAGGGTAAAGAAAAGGTTCTCCTTTTTGGCGGGGGAAGGGGGTGCTCAGGGAGCACATAAAGATAGATATAATACAAAAGGTCTGCTTAAGAGCCTCAAGTCTATTTCAAGTTGATCAGAGGAGGTGTAATTTTGCCAAACCAAAGGGGAAAGGACAACCTATGCTCTATACAATATAAATAAAGTCTGGGCTTTTATCTCTTCTTGATCCAGAAATAGCTGGATCCCAACATTTTAACCCTTTCCTCCCAAACCTCTGCAATCTGGAAGCTGTCACAAAGAACTGTCCTGCCCAAATGCTTGAATAACAGTTAAACAGCCTAGTTATAAGCTGGCTGTGCTCACCTGGGCACTAAGACGGCTGAAGCCAAAACAGAGACGATATTTCAATTCCTCAAAAATTTCCTTCCTGGCCTTTAGGAGTGCTAGTTCTATTTTACACTCATAATGACGCAGGGGTGATAATTTTATCAGTAGTCCTGAGCAAAGTAGAAAAACTAAGTGACCAAGAGCTAAATGAAAATGCATATTTTAATGAACTGAGTCTACAAAATTTTCTCAAAACACAACTGCTCCATTGGTGCACATAGGCTTGCCTCCAAATAATAATTATTTGTTTGTGCTTTTACTGGGCCTTTAGTGGTGTTTTATAGCTATTGGACTACAAGGTAGAGGTCCTTAGTATCTATAACCTTTAGCTACCTTTGGCGAGAAACCTCTTTGCCAAGTGAAATAAAATATGCTTTGCCGTGGTGTCATGGGCACTTCATGTTTTCTCCATTCCAGCATCTTAATCTTCACTGTGTGACAGGTTATAGTTTTAAATGTTCAGCTGTATTACAGCTTTTTAAAATACACTGATACCATGGCACACTTTTTCTTCCCCAGCTCCAGTCCATCCCATGCATATTGCTGACAACTCCGATCTCTCATCATCTCCATCCTAGAGTCAGGGCAACTTAATGTATCTGAGGCATTCTGCAGGCAGAATGACTCTCCACCTTAACCCACAGTTAAGCAGCGTGTTTATCTGCACTACAGCGTGCGCCAAATAAACCAGATGACACCTGGGAATAACATCATTTCGAACGATTGAAAAGCTTCTCGAGAGGCAGGTACCCTTGAAGTAACAGGCCTGAAGAAAGCATGTTTTGTGCCTAGCCTCTTGCTTTCTTCTACTGGAAACTTCGGAGGTTGACAGTGGCGCTGTGGGCCCTTGTCAAGCACTTTTATTTATTTATTTTTAGCCTGGCAAACTGATGCACTTTGCAGTCAACTTACCAAAAAGGCCAAGCATTTGAAAGTGTGAAGGGCAAAAAATATCTGACGGCTAGTCTTCAAAAATACACTTTCATTTCAGAAAGCATAAATGTTTATTTCCTGAACAGAGTGTTGACAGAAATAGGCTGCCGTGAAGGCGTTTGGGTTTAACCCCTGCTAGGCATTTTCTTCTTGGCTGTTTCCTCGAAACAGAGCAAGCCTTTTACATCTTTGGGGTGTCTGTTAATATCACTTAATCATGGCATTGATTTCTCTGCTCACAGTTTTTGAACTGTAGTGTCTCTGTCCCACCAAAAATGGACACATTTCAATGAAGAGCATAGCATGCTAAAATTACAGGTATATCATCATGACATAACAACTCGCTGAGATCACAAGTGGAGTTCATTGAGAGAAGCTGACTGAGCAACATGGCATCACCTAGATTCTTCATCTCTCATAGAAATGAAGCTAGTGTTGAAATAAAGCTAGAGGAAAAAAACTTAACAATGGCACGAAGATTTGGCCTTAGTTATTAGTAAATGCAGATCCATAAACCTTGTCAGTGATACTCTCTTTTTCAGTCACTTGCTCTTCTCAAATAGGAGCAGACATAATCATTTCTTCTATGATTCACAAAACACAGGTCTCAGGTTTATGTGTGTGTGCATGCATGCGTACACACACACACACACACACACACACACACACATACACGACCTTTTCTCTCTTTATTTCCCATAGAGATGGACTTCATGGACTAGAA